TTCTTATTTCGTATATTTTTTCAATCCCTTGATTTGGCTCCAAATCTACGAAAAATAAGGGTAGAGGAACTTTTACTCCTGGCTGTTCTTTACTCTCCTTCTGTACATTTGTAATCTGGCGCACTATGAAACCTAAAGTTTTCAATTCTTCTTCTATTGCTTCGGTTGGTGTTGAGGGGTGTAGATTTCTTATGACTACCCTCAAAGCTCGATCTTGCCGTAATTGGTACGTATGAAAATCCGCGTTGGTTTCCGTTAGATACTTCACAATTTTTCTGTAGGTTTCAGCTGTATCTGGTGATATCTTCGTGTCCTTTGTTCTGCTTAGACATGAATAGCTTCCAGAGCCTGTTATTTTGTTCAGTTGTGAGCATAGTAACTGAAAATTGTTTATGTTTTTAACGAATATGGGTGGAGGTCGGGGATCTCTTGGTATTGAAGCGGATTCCATCACTTCTTTATCATTCTGAAGCACCTGATAGGGGTTAGGGGTGAAAAACGGAGATTGTTCGGTTATCTCTTGTGAAGATGTACCTGGTTGATGCTGAAGTTCTTCAATTGTTGGTTTTGATGATGTTCCTGGCTGGGTTTCATTTTCTCTGGAGCTAATAGGCGTTAGTGCAGGTGTTTGACGACATTGACGAGGCTTTTGTTTGACAGGCGAAGAACAAGGTGTTGAGCCTAACGGCCGAATTCTCTTGATAGAAGCTCTACTAGACATGGCCTGATTGTGATATCGCATATAAGGGGAAAAAAAAATGAAAAAAAAAATAAATAAAATAAAAATAACCCTATAATAAAATAAAAATAACCCTATAACATACTAATTATATATTTCATTTATTTTATTCCTTTTTTGTTTCTCAAATACAGTTTTATTTTGGGTTCGACTTTATTTTACCTATTGAACTAATATTATAATAACGACATATGATTTCTTCGTAATATGTATGGCGCATGCCTATGAATAGATAAATAGAAATGATGAAATATACTATAATCAGGTTACGGCATAAGCTAACCACAATATAATATAGATAATTGTAAATAGGTTGAATTCCACAATGAGTGTAAATGAGGAAAATCGTTCAATGGAATTTCCTTTTGTTCTATGTTGACTGATTGCTAGATCGAATAAAAATAATAATAAAAAAAATAAAAGATAAGTTAAAAAATATATTAAAAGAAAAAAAATCTATTTCGTTTAAATATCATAACTTCCTCAATGACTAACCTATTACAGAATGATTGATAGTTGGACAAGCGATAAATTAAATAATATCCAATGTAAACAGTTAGAAGTTGACCTTTCCTTAAATTTAACCTAATTAGGATTATATATAGAATATTTTATTCTAAAGTTGAATTTATTTTATTTTAATGAACTTGGTTTCGAAAATATTAAAATCTTCTAGAATTTTAACTTCATAGGAAGTACCAGAACTACATGTACATACATCGCTAATTACAATGCTAAATTCAAGATGATAAAAGATATATTCTTCCAATATTTATTCTATACTATAAATAAAGTTATTTTAAAACAAAATAAAATTAACAGAAAATAGTATACAGTATTAAAAATGTATTGATTTTTTATAATTTCTCAATTCTTTATTGAGAAATATTACATTTTCTCGCATTCAAGGAGAAGCTCATTCACACTCTACGTAGAATAAATAAAAATAAATTAAACAGTGAAATAATAATACTAAAGTAAATGTATATAAACTAAACTAAACAAATTAATAATAAGTAAATTAATAATAATAAATTTAAATTAGTAACCTGAGATATATAATTTTATCATACAAATGTGCTATTTCGAGTACTGCTGTGCGTATCGCAAGAAGTATGACATTTCGATTTTCGAGTATGTATAATTCGTGATACTGATAGGAACAGACCCCCCCTTTTTTTTTTTTTTTTATCAAATTATTAACGCCAGGCTTGAAAATTCGTGAATAGATTAATCTTATCGTAACCTTCAACTTTTCGAATTAGGACGTTTTCAATCTGGAGGTCTGCAAACTTTGTCTATTTAATTAGGTACTAAAAACTCCTATAAACCCATTTACTTTCATCTTGGATCGTAAGATAATTGGATCACAAAATCGAAAAAAAATGTGGCGTTCAAAAATATTGGGCCGTTTGGCCTATATAACCTCGTTATTTTGACATTTTAGGAGTTCAGATCACGCCAAACGGTTCAATATTTTTTACTAATAGGTATATTAAGTCTTCGATATTTTAATTCAAAATATTAGGAATTCGCTGAACTGAAAATGTGATGCCAAAAAATTTTCATTTTATAAATTTTTAAATTGATAATATATTCGTTTTAAAGTAACTATAATTCCTCTGTCTGAATTTGAAACTGGATACAAAAAATATGTTTGATTTGAAGTAGGTTTATTAACGATTTTTACTTAAATTATGCGCACATCAATTAATTTTTAGTATTTTTTACCTTATAGTCTGGCACTTGTTAGTATTTAATTTATTTTTTAAACCAATTCTATGATTCTATTATTACGAATTCTTGATTTGACCCGGTATTGTAGTACATTTCTATAACAAAACAAAATTGTTTTAAAAATTGTATTATGTGAGTAAGATTTTTTTATCTTTAAAATCGTCTTGAGGCGGTCATCGATGGTCGATTTGCTAAGGTTAAATTTCCCTGCAAGTTCTCGAACAGTTGTTCTGCAGATTTGTTCCACCAAAGCCCGCAGAACATCGACATCAAGAGAGGAAGTTCTTTCACGACCTTCTTTGTCTACGAGGTTGAAGTCTCCCTTCCGAAATTTTTTGAACCATCTTTGAACAGTGCACTCATTAATGCTGCTCTCGTCCCAGACTTGATTGAGGTTTCTAGCCGTCTGGGGCACCATTCCGGCCGATTTTAAACTCGTAAAACTAAATTCTACGAAAATCACGCCTTGCCATCTTAGTAAAAACTGAATTATTTCTAAGCAGCGAAATAAGTGAAATTCCTCCACAAACAGTAACTGAGCCGCCAAAAGAGAACCGTCGTTCCATTAGTGTGGCATTAGATTACAACTTAGAATTGTTCTTATCTGTAAATAAGACAGAGTTCTGTCTCATTATATGTTCCTCTATGAATATTTTTTTTTTCAATTTCGTGGCGCCTATTTAAAGATGTTTATGAACTCTTGAAATCCACTGCACTTCCGATAGGTTATTTTACACGAAATTACCTAATAAACTGATTATCTATCCCAGTAGCTTTGAGAAACTTATGAGGGTTTCTAAATCGATCGCGAAGGGTCTGGAGTCTTAAAAATCTCTTCTCTTGCGATAGTTAAACTTCCACGACAATGCCCAGAACATATAATGAGGTGTCAGATAGTTTAATATCCTTGGAATAAACCTTCTGAATGACGATGAGAACGTTCTTCCTCTACAAGAGTGGACAGCTCTAAGTATTTCCATTTCATTTCAACGGCTACGTTGAATTATTTTGCCTTCATTATTAAAGAAAATCAAAACAACTTTGATCGACTATTACTAAGACTGAATGAAGGTAATAAACCGAATCATCTGAAAGGTTAGGTTATGTTTTGAATATAAATGAGTCTATTAAGAATGAATCAAAGTAAATAATTTGCAAACAATCAGATCACGGTCTTCCCTCCCATCCTCTTTTAGTCCGAGAGCCCTTGAAAATAAATTGACGCTGAAGAAAATTTTGAAAGTATTTTTTTAATATACGTAACATCTATATTTAAAAAAAAATCTGGTGCGGTGCTCGCATTACACAACTTTCACTTACCAATCTGAGGGTGGATAGGTATTTTCTTATACAAAGTCGAAGTGAAAACGACGGTATAACTTCATTTAAAACAATTGATTACCAAGTTTTTCTATCCCATCGAATCGCAAAATAGCTTTAAAATGAAACATCGTTTCAGAAAAAAGCAAAATGCCCTAAGTAATATATTTAATAACAGAGTATTCAAATTAGAGGTTTGAAAAAAAAAAATACGACGAGATAACGCAAAGCATAGGGTTCGTATCCCACAGCCTTACATTAATTGTGGTACTGTCATTGAATACATGTCTCATTACGTCGATTTGAGGTCTCTATGATCGAGACAGGAGGAGTTTGTATTATTTATCGATGCTGTTTTTGATCGGGAAGCCATATCATCGTTAATTCTTCACCAAATTTCAAGATTGAGCCACCAATTACGAAGATTTCCTTCTCCTTCAGGCGGGCAAAATAGTCCAATCATTCCGAAAATTCAGGCAAACAAGTTATGAAAGAAAACAAACTTTATTTGCGAATAACTAAAATATTACACACTTTTCCCTTGGTTATGCCCATGATCATATAAAAGATTCCCCTACAAAAGGGGAAAAAAATCATCGAAATCGGACTATTTTTAACAAAGATACAGCTTACTGAAATTTGTGAACATGTTGGTTCCAAACAAAAATGTCGATTATATTTATCTATAAAGTAACGTTTGATTTCTTTATCTTTTGATACCTTGCATTATTTTATTTTATTATTAATTTTGCATTTGATAACAATATGCTGTGCGAATTTTTCGCACGGGCCTACTAGTCAAAATAATTTCTCATAACTAGCTTTTGCTTATTTCCTCTTTGTTTTACCTCATCCTCTCCATTCCTGTCCCAGACCATGATATTTTTGGATTTCATCATTTCTTGATTACTTGTCAGTTTTTTGCGAATTATTCATTCTCTAGAGTATTATTTCAGGATTAGGAATATTTTTCACAACTCTCTATTAGGGAAAAATTATTTTTGAAATTGTACAACTATCGATATTTTTTACTTGTTTGATATTTCTATCGATAGTAGTTATGACGTAATATGGATACTTAGTCTCCATAATCTCGTCCTCAGAGGATGACAGCTACGCCGACTGACCTTTGACCAGATGTAGGGACAAACAAACCCCCACCGCGACTCCGGCAGTGGTGGGAGGTTTTGATAAAAACACCGCTCACCCGGGTCCTACTCAGTCCGCAGGATGTGCTTCTTGTTCGAATCTCTGTGCGCGGACCTTCTCCTCGTGGTCCTAACACTCCTCTTCGTCTTGTACAGGTTCTCGACGTCCACCTATGGCTACTGGGCAGAACGGCAAGTTCCCTTCGTACCTCCTGTACCACTCTTCGGGAACTCGCTCACGACAGCCCTCGGGATCCATCCACTCGTCACGAAGCAGAAGATGAATTATGAATTCTTTGGTAACAACAGGTATGGAGGTACATATGCTTTCCGAAGGCCGACATTCTTCATCAAAGATCCCGAACTTGTCGAACAGGTAATTATCCTTACCATATATGTATATATATATAGCATAAGTTTTAAATTTTATTCTTTGAAAGAGTAGGGAACCACCGCTTTAGTTATTTCTTTGAAACTTTCAAACCAGCAACCCGTGTTTTTTTCCCAGAAGCAATTATTAAACAGAAACAGCTTCGTTTAGAAATCATGTTTATCTAGTAAGTCATATAACTAAATCACAATTACCCCAGTCAAATTAGACATGTTATATTGCAAAAGGTAAAAGTAAGTTTCCTACAAAAGCAGTAGTAAATTTTGTTCACTTTAATATTTAACATAAACATTTTTGAGCTACGTTACCTAGAAAAGTAGATAATTGGCTAAATCAAAAAATTATTAAGTTTTTGCAAATTTTTGTTTTATTCATTTTGAAACTTTTATAATTTGCTTGTGGTGGGTCCAGAACAAAAAAAATGTTTTATTTAAAACTTTAAGGTCTACGAGGTTGATTCGAATAATTTTTTAGCTAGATAGCTTTAAAATGGAAATAAGAGTAAACCAAAAAAAGCCCGACATTTCAATTGTTTTGAATAACTACGGAGAACCCACAAGTTTTCCAATATCAAATACTTTTTTTTTATATCCACAGTAGACATAACAATATAAAAAAAAACATAGCTACCCGATCTTTTGGAAGATATAATATATCCTTTTTTATGTAATTCGACTGAACCCAACACACCTCTCCGCTCACACCTGTTCTCTAATTTACGTAAGGCAGCGTTACAATTCAAAAAACTAATATAGTTAGTTATATAGGACGATGTGTCGGAACTAAGATTTTCGTCAAGGGGAGGGCACAGATATCATATACACAACATATAGTGCGATCGAATGAATCTCGTTGTAGGCTATCGGCAGCTATAGATTATGATAAATGACATATCAAACATAGCGGAATTTCGTGTAGAAGCGGCTAATGCCAATTTGGAAACTTAAAACATTACTACAACTGCAATAAAAGTCATTGAAAAAATTTAACTGGGAGCTGTCGATTTAACTTGGATTAATCGAATGAAACAGAATACATAGTATTTTAAAGAATCTGGCGCGTTTTGTTAAAGTTAAAGAATGTTAAAGTTAAAATGTTAAAGTTGTTAATGTTAAAGAATAACATAGCTACGAGTTCGCGTCCCGGTGCCGCGAGGGAGGAATTTTTACTGTGGCATTAATTCACCGCCCTAAAGACAAACATCGTTCGTTAATGTCGTTTGTAAGTCGAATGCATTATGGAGAAGGCATAGCTGTCTCTTGAGAGTTCTTTAATTATATTATTGCCTGGATTAAGGTTAAAAAAAAAATCTGAAAGAAACAATTTTTACTTAACCTAAAGTTAAAATTCGACAGAAGGATGACTTGGGATCCAAACATTAAAAGTGACACTTAAGTATAAATTATGAAGTCTGTATTCTCTGTTCAAACATTAAACTTTAATGTTTATATGTTTATGACTATAATAATTACTTTAGCTAAAATATAATAATTTAAAAGGACGTCTAAAAAGACATAATAAAGATATGTAGATATTGCAATTTATAGTCGTAATTCAGCACCAAATTTAGCATTTTATGTCCTAATTGTTTAATTTAATCATCGAATATCAAACGCATCCAATCCTTCCAGTCCAAAGTCCTTCGAACAATAGTCAATGCTCCATATTATGTCACGAACAAGACCCTACACCATGACCTTAACATCCCATATGTCCATGACATCATCCCATCCAGATTCTCCAACTTTCACCAGAACCTCATTCATCATCCCAATCCTCTAGCGCAATCCCTATCCAGCTCCGAGCATCCATACCATCCCCCTCGAAGGTTGAAACGGCAGTGGCCTCGAGATCTTTTGTAAATATGCCTTTGGAGTCCTGGCAATGGCCAGCTTCTCCACTCATGTCCTGAGCGTCTGTGGCTGTATTGCCCTCTTTCAGTCTCCACTGGCTTCTAATACTAGTGATGCGACTGGAAAAGTGGCACTGGGATCTTCCGGAGTCTTGCTTTGCCTTCCGCGTGTGGAGGTAAAAGCCTGGCTCGGAGATTCTTGGGCAAATGTATATATTGTATATAGTTATGATTGTGTTTAGAAGTTTTTATTTTATTTTATTTTTTATTTATTTATTTATTTATTTACCTTCTTCATCAGTATTATTTATTTACTTCTTATATTTATATTTATTTCTTTATTATTTGTATATATTGTATGAATGAGAACTTTTAGCCCTAATGCTTATAGCCCTCCAGCAGTGGCTGATTGTATTATTATTCAATAAATAGATTTCAAAAAAAAAAAAAAAAAATTGTTTAATTAATTTATATTCGAACGCAAAAACATTGCGATCTCGTAAAGAGCGCTTAGAACTAAGAACAATAGTAAAATGTTTTAAAAAAAATAATTTTAGTAGATTTGTAATAATACAAAAATAGTATATGTTAAGAATTATTAAAGGAGGAGATGGTCCGGGGTGGCGATCATAAATAGGCTAAATTGTGGTAAAACCATTTTTATTAAAAGCCAACGTTTCTACCCGACTTTGCAGATCTTCTTCAGGGCTAGAACGGACAAGATACAAAAAGATAGAGAATTGTGGAAGTTATATAATATTTAGACACAAAATTACATTAAAATATGAACAGAGTAAGCTAAGTAACAAGATCCTATTTTAATGTACTTACTGTTTACAATTTTAATAAGCTTATTCACATAGTTTATAATTTTTTGTATAAAATTATATAACTTCCACAATTCTCTATCTTTTTTTATCCAGCCCTGAAGAAGGCCTGCAAAATTGAGTCGAGACGTTGGCTTTTAATAAAAATAGTTCTACCACTATTTAGGCTATTTATGACCGCCATCCCGGCCTTCCTTCTCCTTCCTTTATAATGCAACAGTCAACTATTAAATATTCGTTAAGAATTATTATAATGAAAACAATCATTCATGTCTTTCATTTTATGTATTTGTATTTTCTCATTATTTTGAATTTTTTTTTAATAAAGTTCATTTTTGGTATTCTCTAATTAATAATAAACTGTAAGGGGTAAGGAATTGATTTGTTTCCAAAGCATATTACTGTTTGCTGTATACTGCGTTTTGATATATTATTTAAACTGTCAGAGTTACCCGCCTTAAAATGAAAAAAACTTGGAAAGAGATTTTTATTTGGCTGTGTACTTTTTTAAAAGTATCGCGATTTTTTTTTCAATATTGTCCTGAATAATATTATTTCAAATATAGGGCCCTTATAAACTTAATAGTTCTAACCGTTTAACCGATTAATAGTTTGACCGAATCCAATGGAAAATACGCGCAGTGCAAAAAGTTTCAAGAAATATCGGCAAATCGGTGATGAAAAAATATTAATTGCGTACCTGGAAAATATGTTCAATAAAAATCTAAAAACAAAACAAAAACACTTAATGATATACAGAATAACCGCATAGACCATAAAGTTTCGACCTTCAAATCGTATCTAAAGTTATAGATGTGTCATTATGTTAAAAAAAATCTAATTTGAATTAGAAACTACTTTAAGGAATGTTTCTTCGACTATAAATTTTGAATAGTTCTCAAAGTATTTATCTAATTGAATAATAGATTCAAATAAGCAAATAAAAGTTAAACTACTGCTTCAATATTTCTTTAATACGACATAAATGGAACTATTCTTTCTTTTATTTCACTAAGGTGTGTATTAATAAAAGAACAAGTCAAATTCTAATTCACAATCGATGAGAATCTACGCTATTGGCTGAGAATAGCTTCAATATCTTTAATGTTTGTAATTAAAAAAAATTAATGAAAAACCCGACTATAAACAATAAATGCTATATATGACCAAAATCATAAAATCATTGTATAATATATTTTTCAGCCTGGATCCAAGTTGGAATTTTCTCTTGCGTTGAATTGTAAATTGTTTTGATGATGTATTTGCTTCTACAAGATGTGTGATCAATACTTCAATACTTAACTGGAGTGTTTGCAATTTGATAACTGTAGCTATTTATGATATCCTTGCTTCATAGGCACAACAACTTCATATAAAAAATAAAGGAAGTTTTTTTTTCTGCACTTGAGATTTTAAAATATACCAAAACTTAATATTAGAATTAAAATACGGTTATGGATATCAGAAAAAAACAAGATATCATACCACCATTATACTAGATGTCACATTATGATTATCCGAACAGTTGGGGTCCAAGTAATAGAGTGTAAAATTGATTATCAATATTTAAAATTCCTGAAAATTTCATGAAAACGAATCAAGGGTTGTATTAAGTCTTATTCCTTACTTATATAAGCCCCCATTGCCATACATTTGTTGCATAGCACATATCACAGCTATTATTTTTTTACAATAGCATTAATTTAATTATTAAAGGGAATTCGACAAACTTTATACTAAAACATTTGTACACTAAACCCCAAACTTTTTCCAATTGTGAAACAAATCGAACAAGCAATTTTAGAAATTCAAGAAAATACGTTTGCGAATCGTGTAGTCAATGAAAATTGATATCAGATTTTTTTTTACTATTCTATAACTTCTTATGAAATTTGTTTCAATCGAACCAGTCTTTTTCGAAAATTATTATATCAATAATTTCATCAAAATCAGATGAACGGTAATAGGAGATGTGTTCGTCCCATAGATTTGACTACAGACAGGCATAGAACTAAATTTCTTGATATCCAAAACGTAAAACGTGAATGAAAATTTTCGATTCTAAGCATATTTCAATATTTCCTTGGAAAACCGCTTAATGGCTAAACTTATACCACTCATAAAGGCTCATTTTGAAATGTATGTACGTTAAATACACTTATACTTATTCGAAATGTTAAATAGACAGGTAATGAGTATTGATTAATTATTGAAAATACTTCTTAATATTACAATAGCGAACTTAATATAATCTGATTTTTTAAACATAACTAAAATTAATATTTTATTAGTTAAACATGATGTTG